AATGTCCCCTGTTGCCTATGTTTTTTTCCCACACAGAGGAGACCCGCTTCTATGAATGTTGCACTGGGAGAGGTGCAGATGCAATAAAGCACCAGCCCTCTCTTACCTTGCAGTGTCCCCAGACTGCCAAGTAGGGCTCCCTGAGTGAAAATGGAAGTGTAATGGATTAAAAAAAAAAAAAAAAAAAAAAGGTTTGTATAAGCAAGAGTTTGTTTAATCTCTGAATTCTTCAAGAAAGCAAAATTACACCGATGGGTAGCAAATGATACTAGTTGTCCCTTCTCTGCCTTTCAACTACGAATCCAGTTAGAAAGGTGTCACGAAGTCAAAACTGACCTTAGAGGATGGAAACTGGGTCAGAAAGAAGCAGGGCTTCTTCCAATGAACCTCACTCATCCGAGCATACAAGCCCAAAAAGAAAGGGTGGTAATGCTGAGCCTGGGTTATCCCAGGCTATGGGGGGCTCCTGCCCATCTTCTTCCCAAACCTGGCAACTAGGGCTAACTTTTCCATTTCAGCAAGAATCAGGGTAATTTTTCCGGCAATTTGATTCAGTTTAATGCCTTCTTACATTCCTAGAAATTTACATGAATGTACCTGTAGGGGCTGCGGGAGTTAGAGGACTGGGAGGTCGTGGCTACCTGGCGTACACGGGCCTGGGGCGCGGATACCAGCTCAAAGGAGAAAAGAGGGGAGAGGATAAACTCTACGACCTCTTGCCAGGAATGGAGCTCACGCCGATGAACCACGTCACGCTAAAGCCCCAAGGGATCAAACTCGCTCCTCAGGTATGTGCCTGAAAAATAGAGTCAATATTCCAGCCAGAGGTTACCTTCTCCCAAAATGCTTTCAGGAAAATGGCCCCCTGCTTGAATTTGTACTGAGAATTGATAACTAAATCCATTATTGCATCTCAAAAGACATTAAAAAAATGAAATACCATTAGCTGCATCTTTTAATACCCACCTGCCTGGCTGGAGAACAGCATCTGCTCTCCCTTGGAGGAGAGTTTTCATCAACACCCATGGAAGTAAGTTGAAATCAAGCTGTGGCTCTTGCTCCGTAAAAACACTGTGGGATAAAGAAATTCTCACCCATAATGGGTTTGATAAACATGATACATCATTTGGGGCTTCACCAAGGAATGAATGTTCATATATAGAAGAATATCAGGTTGGCCATGACAAAAAGGTTCTTCAGTCAGTGGGTGGTGGAGCACTGGAATAGGCTCCCCAGGGAGGTGGTCATAGCACCAAGCCTGACAAGATTCCAGAAGCATTTGGCCAAGGCCCTCAGACACATGATCTGAATCTTGTCCTGTGCAGGGACAGAAGTTGGACTTGTTGATCCTTGTGGGTCCCTTCCAACTCACAACATTCTGTGATTCTGTGAACATATGTCTTTAAATCAGTTATGGAGAAAGAGGTGTTGACTGCCGCATAACCCAGCCAAACGTAGAAACGCTAGTTGCTCACGGAAGATTTTGATGATGTTGTGCGTGCAAGACTGGGATCCAGATGGGTGGATGAGGGCTGAGAAGAACAAACCCAAGACAAATTCCCTGAGCTTCTGAGGGTCTGGCTCTCATGGCAAAGCCTTTCCCCTTACATCATCCAAAGCATTATAAGAAATTAACTTCATCCCAAATTTTGAAGCACATCTCTATTAACACTTGAATTACCACAGCATCTGGTTTGCCAAAGTCTATGAAAACACCCTTTCCTCCTCCAGAAAACTGGAAAGTGGTTTTTTTTCCCTTTCCTGCATAATTTCACAGTCCTCTTACTCTATTCTATCAACTTGTAAGAGAAGTGAAATAATCTGAGTGGTGCTGCACTGCCTTAGGGCAGGTGAAATCTATTTTTTCTTCTTCTCATCCCTACCAAACCCCCACTGCTTGTATTTCAAACAGTGCAGTAACAGCACCGGGCACCTGCAGTGCTGATTTCTTGGACACACTTTCCCAGCAGCTGAACTCCCTAATTCCCACCTGCTGTTTCACAACCGCAGGTCTTAGACAGCTAGAGCTTGCTTCATGACAGCCTTGTTAGTAGGACAGCCTCATTAATCATAGAATCCTAGAATGTTGTGAGTTGGAAGGGACCCACAAGGATCATCCAGTCCAACTCCTGGCCCTGCACAGGACAATCCCAAGATTCAGACCCCCCCAAGAGGGCCTTGGCCAAATACTTCTGGAATAGTCAGGCTTGGTGCCATGACCACCTCCCTGGGGAGCCTGGTCCAGTGCTCCACCACCTTCTGCCTCAAGAACCTTTTCCTCATGGCCAACCTCACCCTCCCCTGCCACATCTTCCTGCCATTTCCTCTGCTCCTGACATCGGTGGCCAGAGAGAAGAGATCAGCACCTGCCCCTCCTCTTCCCCTTGGGAGGAAGTTCTACACCGTGATGAGATCTCCTCTCATTCTCCTCTCCTCCAGGCTGAACAAACCAAGTGACTTCAGCTTCTCCTCATATGGCTTCCCCTCTAAACCCTTCCCCAATGTTGTGGCCTCCTCTGGACACTCTCCAGGAGCTTTAGATCCTTTTTATCCTGTGGTGCCCAAAACTGCCCCCAGTACTGGAGGTGAGGGCTGTCAGCTTGGTCAGCCTCTCTCCCATCTGCTGCACTGAGAAGCATTCCAGCAGCACCTTTGAATGATGGATTTCATTCACACTGCCTAGCTGGCATGCTCCGTGTTAATAAGTATATCTGCCTTGTCAAGTATTTAAATGTTGATGTAACCTTATCAAACCAATGTCTGTATTAAAGGTGTTGGGACAGCAGGGATCAAGGGTTGCCATAGTGAAGAAATGTATCGTATTAGTTTATGTACACTACAAAGTGCTAAACTTCAACTGGAACTACGATAACAAAATTAAAACCATCATTGACGTTTCCATTTTAAAATTTAATTTTAAATAAAATTAAATGTGAATTTTAAATAAGGTGGACCACAGAAAGACACAGGTTGGAGGCACCTTGGCAGCGTGGCCAATGTCACAAAGCCCCAGGACCTGACATCTCCTCAGCTGAGTGTCAGGTCTGATGGAGCTACTTGAAAAAAAATAACTGGTCCCAGCATTGCTCACAGAGGTGCATGGGAACACCATGCTGTGTTTAAACCCATCTGGGACAGCAGATAACCAGTGGGTTAAAAAAAGAAATACAAAGCCAAAGCAAAAGTGTCTCCAGACAGTAATTCCCAATTACCATGGAATAAGCTGTGCTGAGGCTGGGGGCAACATGGTTCAGCATTTCTCTTTCAAACTAGAAGCCTAAATCGCCTATTGAAGCCTGTATAATTAATTGGGTGGAAACACAGCCTTTACTTTTTCTTTTTCTTTCTTTTTTTTTTTAAAAAAAAAAAAAAAAAAAAAAAGACGGCTGTATACATGCACTGTAACCCACTAAGCCAGAAAGGCAGCAGGGCAGTGAAGATGAATGCAACCCTAGTGTTTTAGCACTGTTAAAAAAAAAAAAAAAAAATAAAAGAAAAAAAGAAAAAGAGAGAGATAGAGTTTCTGGGGAGAATTCAAAGAAAACCACACCAATAACAGAATAAAACAGCTAAACAGTAAAAGGACGAGGACATCTGACTTGACAGAATAATAATTAACTTCAAGAACTGAATGGATTTTTAAAGTATTCATTTAGGTGAATCTTTTACTTCAAGGTGGATGTAGTACCCTGTCTGCCATTTATTTAGTTTTTTTTGCTAAGCCTTGAAGAAGCTGCCAGTTCACCCCTGAAAACCCTTGGGAGGGAAGGCAGCTGCCCAGTGCAAGGGTTGGAGCTGAGAGAGAAGGCTACTGTGCAGCAATTAACCCCACCAAAAATCCCTTTTCCCCCCCTTCTAGATCTTAGAAGAAATCTGCCAGAAAAACAACTGGGGCCAGCCTGTTTACCAGCTCCACTCTGCAATTGGCCAAGACCAAAGACAGCTCTTCCTCTACAAAATCACCATCCCTGCCCTCGCCAGCCAGAACCCCACCATGTACGTAACTACTTGAGGTTTTCTGGGTTTCAGGATTTTTTTTTTTTTAAATGGCATTTCATCTAGCATGTCTCCTCAAAATATGATTGCATGGGTCTCTATTCTCTTTTTATTCTTATGTATTAGGGAGAAAAACATCCACAAACTAAAACTGATAGCGATGTATGCCATGCTTGGTGCTCTCTCTGCTGGCGCAAAAATTACAGAAAGCCAGCAACAATCAGGCAAAAGTTTGCTTTTTAGTACAACAATAAAACATTTGATATCTCTTGTGGGAAAAAGAAAGCAGCCTGAAGGAAAATGCTGATCATTTGGCTCCAAATATGATCCTAACCATTTCTGACCTAAAATATTGTTTGCTGTGTATTTTAAATAAAAATTCAGGCTGCTGCAAGTTTTCTATTGGACTGAAAATGTACAACATGCTCTGAAAGGATCTTGTGCTCAAACGAGACCCAAGGTGAATAAATTCAGCAAAGAAACCAGATTACTACGAGGGGCATGCTTTTGCTAATGCATCAGCAGAGTGAAATCATAGAATCATAGAGTCATAGAATCGCCTGGTTGGAAAAGACCTCTGAGATCATCGAGTCCAACCGTACCTGTCCACTACTAAATCATATCTCTGAACACCTCATTTCCCCATTTTTTAAACACCTCCTGGGATGGGGACTCAACTACCTCCCTGGGCAGCCTGTTCCAGTGCCTGGGAACCCTTTCAGTGAAGACATTTTTCCTGACATCCAACCTGAACCTCTCCTGGCACAACTTGAGGTCATTGCCTCTTTTTCTGTCATTTGTTACTTGGGAGAAAAGAGACATATCTGCATCACTACTGCCTCTTTTCAGGTAGTTGTAGACAGTGATAAGGTCTCCCCTCAGCCTCACGTGTTTCCATTTGATACGTGGATGATACCATCTACAAGTGGATCAAAACATCTTGCAGTAAAATCCTAGAGAAAAATAATCCAAGCTATCATTCCATTGTGTTCACAGACATCCCTTCACACCACCCAAGCTCAGTGCCTTTATCGATGAAGCCAAAACCTACGCGGCAGAATACACCCTTCAGACGCTGGGGATTCCCACGGAGGGAGCAGAGGTACCTCCTGCAGCACCAGCTTTTCCAGGTATGGGAAGGTCTGTACAGCAAAGGTATCTTGGAATATTATTTTTCCTGTGCGCTTCTTTGTGGATGTCAAGAATTAATCCATTTTTGGCCACCAAGGACAGACCTGGCTGTGCTCCCTGACATGCCTCTACCTTGGTTCCTGTTACTTAACTGCATGACATCTTTATGGCCTCTACAGTAATTTATCTGTACACCAGTGTGGTGGTTGCACTGGGCCAGCACTGGGCTGGCAGCCAAACCCAGCTGCTCACTCACTCCCCCCGCCCAGCGGATAGGGGAGAGAATTGAGAGGCAAGGGTAAGGAGACTTGTAGGGTGAGATAAGAAAAAAATAATAATGGAAATAAAAGAAAACTTAAAATAATACTGATGATAATAACAGTAACAAACTATGCAAATGAGTTATACCCAGGGCCATTGCTCACCACCTGCTGACCAAGCCCAGCCCGTTCCCAGATAACGATCCTGAAGGAGCGACAATCCCGAACTGAAACCGCAATCCCAGAAGAGCGAGAGCCCGAGTGAAAGCCCGAGAGAGCAAGAGAGGAAGAGCCCCTCATGAATATCCTGCCCATGGTGGGACAGGAGATGGAACAGCCCATTGGCAGAGCCAAATGCCAACTGAGCTGATTCATTTAAATATTCCTCACCCCCTTAGATCTTGCACTTGCAGACTGACAAAGCACAAAGTCCTTCACTCCCAGTGACACAAATGCAAACATGGGGATGTTCTCAGTGTTTCTCTCCTAACAAATCCCAGCTGAACCCAAACCCCAGCGCTGTTCTAGCTGCTGAAAAGAAACCAGCTCTGGTCCAGCTAAAAACCAGGACAACCAGAATTACCCAGTTACAGTGGATTTACCATAGAGCAGCTGAGGCTGGAGGCACTGCGTTAGGGGGTCTCTGGTCCAACCCCATTCCCAGCAAGTCAATACCACAGATATAGCAGGCTGCTCGGGGCTGTGTCCAGATGAGCTAGGGCAATCTCTGAGAATGAGCATCCCATACTGCTTGAGGCACCCTCCCAGAGATGCACCTCCCCTCCACTCCTTCCAGTTTATGAATGCCTCCTTTCAACTGAGAGCCCCAGATAGGTTGCAGAGTCCAGATGTGGTGTTCCCAGTGTCACGTCTGGGATGAATCCCCTCCCTAGACCTGCTGGCTGTGGTCTGGCCATGGTCCATCTGTTCCCCCACAGCACACCCTTGAATCAACATTTTTGATTTCATCCACCAAAGAAATGATGCAATCGTGAAAGTCAGGATCTGATCCCAGCTCTCACACCCCCACTGGAAGGTTGTTTTTTTTTCCGGTTTGGGAATTTATAATCAACAGCTCTTGCAACTGCCCAAAATAGCTTGGGAAGTCATGGAAAACACAATCTGGGAGCAGGAATTACATTTACTCTGCTCTCCAATATGATGGTTAGTCTGATGTAGTGGGAGCAACACATGCCAAACTGCACATGAGGAATGCATTAGTCAGTACTACTGAGTTGTTTGGAGTGTCTCAAGGATGGATTAAAAAAAAAAGAAAAAGAAAAAGAAAAGATCTATCCAGTTCCTGCCATAGGAGTCCACAAAAGCCACAGAGAAATCAATCTGTCTGGGTTTGTGCAGGCTTCCGCAGTGTGGAAACCAAATGGGCTCTTTATTGAATCCAGTCCCCACTTTCTGCTTAATTATATTCTCTCCTTTTTCTTTCATCCGCCATTATTTATTTGTCTTGGAAACTCAACAAATTGACATACATTGAGGTTTCTGCTCACAAGATACACTGGTCCTTGATCAGGGCTCTCTCAAGCCCAGCTCAGCTCAGGCCATGCCCAAGTAGCAGCTCATTTCTTTTATGATGGTGGGCAGATATGTTTCAAGTGACAGATTTCTCAATTCCTAGTTGAAGTGTTGCACCTCACTTTGCTGAGGCAAAGAAGATACTTTGAGCAGCCACAATATTCAATTACAGCATATTTCTCATGTTTTTCCCGCAAGGTAACACCTTCAATGAGGCAACATACTCTCAGTGTTGCCCAATATCTCCATTCCTCCCACCAAGAGGACCTCAGATCTGACTGACCTTGAGCTGATTCCATTGCCCAGCGGGTTGGTTGGAGATTTTAGATCCTGGGAGATGTAGTTTGGCAATAGATCCTGGTCCAGCAGCACTGGTGCCTACTCTAGCTGCTTTTCCCAAGTCTGGGCTTCATCTTAATTCTCAATTCTTTCACAACGAAATCTCATGGTCTGGTCAACAAGCTGCTATACCCTGCTTTCAGGCAGACCAGCTCCAAACAATGTTTGTTTTCCCGGTGATTCATTTTAAATCAGCAAAGCTACCATTTTCCCATGGAAAACTTTGAAATGTTGAAACCAGGCTTTCCATTAGAAACTGATGGGGAAAAAAAAAAAAAAAAAAGCAGTTTACTAAATACTTTATCCCTGATATTACATAGAGGGAATTCCCTCCCCTCTAACTTGGCTGTCCTGAACTGAGTGCATTTTGACTGTGAAGGGTATAAGAGTGATATTTGCTCTAAGAAACCTGCCCAGATTTCCCCTATAATACTACATTTTCTTGTCCTCTTCGCATCATGTGTGGGAGGCCCTGTACAGAGCACCATTAACACCCTCTTAGCTCAGATGTAATTGGAGCCTAAGAAAAAAATATTCAACAGAGAGGTGTATTTTTCAAGCAACATGTTTAACAAATAATAGGTGAGAAAATGCATTAATTTTACACCTCTTTAATTTCCTCTAACATGGAGAAAAATGTGTCAGAAATTACTTATTTCATTTAATTAGATTATTCTCATTAACAAATTTATTGCTCCCTACATCATTTAAATCAACACCAAAGTCTTCCCATCAAAAACTATCAGGCAATGGTAGTTTCTGAACATCTTTTCATTAATCTGCCTTTTTTTCCCTCCTTTCTCCTGCAGGATACACCATTGCTAATGCAGCTGCGACCGTCACAGCCACTCAGCTCAAACAAGCGGTGACTATGGGACAAGATTTAACGACATACGCAGCGTACGAAGCCTACCCTGCCTTCGCAGTCGCTGCACGCAGTGATGGCTATGGAGCATTTTAATCCTGTCTTTAATCCAGTTCCTTTAAACCAAGCAGAGGCAGGGAAAAAAAAAAAGCTCAGTCTGGTATTTCTTACACCCCCATGACTGTAAACTAATCTGTAGCCTAAAGTTAGATTTTAGTCAGAGTTCCATTCTTGTAGGACTTCAGTATCATAACAGGATGTTAGGGAAGGAAAGCAGAATTTTTTTTTAAAAAAAGCTCAAAATCAGACTTTCACACTAGAAAGCAGAATCTCAGCCTAGAAAATTAGTGGTTCTCACACACACACATACATCATTGTGTGGGTTTACAAGCAACAAGCTGTGCTGAAAACTGCTGGTCTCATGAACTTTGTGACATGGGATTGGGGAAGGATGGGGTGTCTCCAGCCATCCATCAGGAGTTCTCCTCCATTCACCTCAAAATTTCAGCCAGGCAGAACTAAAAATTTCTGAAGCCAGTCAGAGCAGTGGATAAAATGAAGTCTGCCCTTTGGCTGCATGAAGGTTTCCAGTTTGCCTCTTACCGCCTCTGAGCATGCCGTGCCACCAGCGCTGTGGGGATGCATTCAGACATTTCAAGCGTCTTTCAAATTCATTCCGACACAGCCAAGGCAAAATGCCATGTGTCGTAAATGTGTCTGCCCAGCCTAACAGGCTGGTTTGCACACTCTTGAATCTTATCATTTGATTTTTAAAGAAAGAGGCAAGCATTCAGCAGAGTTTTCCTTCATACTTAACTACTGCCCAGCCATGCCTACAAGTCACAAAACAGCAAATAATGGTGCATTTTTTCCACCTCCCATCCAATGGCACATTCAGTGAAAGACAGGAAAACTTTTAGGACTATTAAGATTGAGGACCAGAAAAGTGCTGTTCATTAAGGTCAGTCCTCTACTTAATTAGAGCACAAGAGCTCACAACCATGACCCAGTAATAACAGGCAACTCTAGAGGAATAAAATTATATCCAAGGAACTTTTTTGACATGATGGAAAGAGCCCTACCTGGCTATCAGTTCTGCTTTACACATTAAAGTAAGGCTGCTGGCTGCTCTGAGTCTTGCAAAAATTAATTTAGTGGAAGAGGATTCATATCAACAGTAAAGGCACCTCTTGTTTCGGAGAGCACCAGTGTTGGTGTTGCATTTGACTGCTTTGGGGATGCTCAGAGCATCCTTTGGTTTACAGTATCAGGACATTGCCCCTTTATTTTTGCCATTGGATTGAGGTAGGGCTAATGATACTGTAGAGATACAGGAGAAATCCAGTCTTAGATAACTACAGCAAACATGTTAATCCTGTATAATATATCCTGTACAATAATGCACAGTAAGAAAACTTGACTCTGCTCAGCCTAGGACCAAAAATACTCCCTTTTTGGGGCAGAATTTACAGCTGGGTTGGTGATGCCCATTAATTCTAACACATCTGGCCCAAAATTTTTCATTCAGTCTAGCTGATGTAACGTAGCACCCTACAAGCCATTTCCAGCAGAGCTTTCTCCATGCATCCCCAAAGCTGTACAAAGCATGATGGTCTGTGACAAGGTGTTGGCTACCAGGAGCTAAATATTCTCTATTATCATGCTTCGGCTGACTCGATTTCACTAGGAATGGAACAAAAACACATAAGCTGTATAGTCTGTGGTACTATTAGACTCTTTTCGATTTATAACGCAGGGTGATCCAAAAGGTATTACAAGTCCTCTGTGGTTGCTGTTTGGCACATTTAGCTTCACAGACGATGACAAATCTGTTCACAGAGGGTGAAATAACCTAGAGTGTTATGGATATTGTGGCTTTATTTTCTCTTCTATGTCTTTTAAGTCGTCTTTGACTGCCAACAAGTAATATATCCATGTCTCTCTCTAAAAGACTACCGTTGGCAGAAAGTGTCTCTCACTTTCCATGTTCAGTAACTTTAGTCTGCTTTTTCAGCTATTTATATAATTTCAGAAAGATGTCAAAGAAAAGGGCAAGAAGCAGTATTAAAAAGCGTGTGCATGAAGCACTTATTTTTGTATGTGTAGTACAATATTTGTATAGAGTTTTAACACGATGAAGCATAGCGAAAAATCACACCATCCATTTACTGGAGGACAATAATGTATGCTTAAATGGAATGAAGTGAAAATGGCATCTCAATCATCCATTACAAAGAAATTATAACTGGGAATAAATTCTGTGGAACAAGTCTGTAATTCTAAAATAATCTAAGGACATTAACTGGACTTTGAAATATCATTAAAACTTTTTAAACCAACAGGAATGCCTCAGTCTTTTTATACACTAAGTTTCATTTGGAAGGGTGCATGGTAAATAAGAGCACACTTTGCTCTGTAGGGATTGATTTCAGGTAAGACAGACAAGGTCAAAAGCTGCACAGTGACGTTGTGAGTGTTTTCAACATGTACTTTGGTGACACTTGGCATGCACATGCAGCAGAAAATCAGCAGTGTTATACTTCTTTTTTAAGTAAAAAGTCAAGGGCTTAGGGCTTTTTTCCACCACCTCTTTGGTCAACATTTATTTATCTGTGAATGTTGCAGGAATCATTTTTGCTATAAATTTATTACAGTGGTAATACCTTTGTGCCTTATCTGATCCCAGTGGAGATGTCTTGGGGGTGATATTGATAGTGAGAGAGCATCATGCAAAAATAAGGAGGTAGATGGGGCGATACATGATTTAGGGCTGCAAGGGAAGAGCCTGTTGCCAGGTCACTGATGGGTAAATTAGCTACAGTTCTGGTTGTTTTAAGAACATGAGGACCTGCTACTTGGAAGACTGTCATAACTAAATGACTGAGCAATAGCAAATACTGAATCATTGAACTGTAGGGGTTGGAAGGGACCTCTGGAGATCATCCAGTCCAACCCTCCTGCCAAAGAACTGGACACAGGACTCCAGATGCGGCCTCCCCAGGGCAGAGTAGAGGGGGAGGAGAACCTCCCTGGACCTGCTGCTCACACACTTTTTAATGCACCCCAGGAGACTGTTGGCCTTCCTGGCCACAGGGCACACTGCTGGCTCATGGCCAGCCTGCTGCCCACCAGCACTCCCAGGTCCTTCTCTACAGTGCTCCTCTCCTGCAGGTCAGTCCCTCCTGCTTCCATGCCTGTTACCAGGGGTATTAACCCTCACTTCTGGTTTTGCACCTTTCCAAACTGATTCTGAGCCCAATAAATAAGGGCAAGATCTGGTACCTTGCTACTGATAGCACACAGCACTCAACCAAAGACCTCCCTACCAAGCCAAAAGAGATTTCACGAAAATAGCCTGACATTGTTCTTACAGACTTCCAAAGGGGTCAGCTGTATTCTGGGCTTTAGCAAGAAAAGTAGCTCTGCCAGCTCTATTATTTTACCTCATTAGCTTTCTCTGATGTCCTGCTTTCGTTTTCTTTGAAATTAGGGCAATGGTAGAATTCACTTTTGTGCTTTTGTTTCCCCTCTCGGAGAGCTGAGATTCTGTCTTTGCTCAGCAGTGGCTGACTGGTCCATTTTGGAGAGCAAGAACTATTTTTCAAGAAATCTCAAACCCACAACCCAGCTTAAAACCCATTATTTCTCATTTGTAAAGATGTGGATTCCCAGTGGACAGCAAGACAGAGTCAAAAACTATATCCATCCTCCACAGACAAGTCCAGGACACGTTTGAGCTGTAAATGATGAGATCAATGGCTCTGGGGAAAAAAAAAATAAAAATAATTTAAAAAAATCAGACACGTTTGGCTGCTTGCAGGGCAAAAGGTACAAAACCTGCATTTTCTTTCTCCCTTCTTCCAACTCCCTTTCTGGGAAGTCTCTACAGCACAGGGCCTCATATCTGAGGATCAAAATGGGCATAAAACATGTCTGAGGATCACACAACAACTTCACCTCTAGAGTTGGATAGACCCTGAAACAACCCAACCTGAAACATCCCATCCCATGTCCCACTGAACCTCCACCAGAAACTTAAGGGACATAGTCTCCAATGACTTTCAAAGGGAGTTTCTTTAATTCTGAGCAAGCGTGGCTCCCTTTTCCCACTAGCTCAGCTAAATCTCCCATAGACCTCATCTCCCCATCACATATCTACCCGGATTTCCCTTTTTTGAGGAAAAATACCCCAAGAACTCTGAAGCACTTTGTTCCGGTTGAGTACCACAAATCACTGCTGTTCAGCAGCTGCCTGGGGGTCAGCCTGGACCTGGTGCTGCTCTTGGTGTAACACAGAGGTACCCCATGGGATGCTCCATCCTTTCAAGGGTTGGAAATTAATTGTATCTCTGCAAAACTTGGACTTGCTTAAAACTGCAACTCTCAGCTGCCCTTTGTTAAGAGGTGGTGGGGGGCTTAGACAACTCCAGCCACCAACCCTTCTCCTTCCAGGGGTGCTGGGGTGGGCTGTCCTCTCCCTGGAGATACCTCAAACACCTCTCTGTGCCCAGAGCCTTGCTCTGGCCTGGCTGCAGCTACCTGCAGCAGACAGGGACTGTGCGTGTCCAAATATGGGGCTGGGGAAGGGAAACACTGGAAGAGTGAAGTTCCTTGATCCCCAGACCCACCTCACAGAAGCACAGAATCCTAGAATTGTAGGAGTTGGAAGGGACCTCAGGAGGTCATCTAGTCCAACCCTCCTGCCAAAGCAGGTTCCCTACAGCAGGTTGCACAGGATGGTGTCTAGGCAGGTTTTGAACTTCTCCAGAGATGGAGAATCCACAACCTCTCTGGGCAGCCTGTCCCAGGGCTCTGGCACCCTCACAGTAAAGAAGTTTCTCCTTAAGTTTGTCTGGAACTTCCAGTGTTACAGTTTTTGCCCATTGCCCCTTGTCCTGTCACTGGGCACCACCAAAAAGAGCCCGGCCCCATCCATTTGGCCCCTGCACTTCAGGTATTTATAGACATTGATCAGATCCCCTCTCAGTCTGCTCTTCTCCAGGCTGAAGAGTCCCAGCTCTCCCAGCTTTTCCTCATATGGGAGATGCTCCAGGCCCCTCATCATCTCTGTGGCCCCTCCGCTGGACTCTCTCCAGAAGATCCCTGTCCCTGTTGAACTGAGGAGCCAGAACTGGACAGAGGACTCCATCTGTGGCCTCCCCAGGGCAGAGTAGAGGGGGAGGAGAACCTCCCTCTACCTGTTGGCCACACTCTTCTTAATGCACCCCAGAAGACTGTTGGCCTTCCTGGCCAAAGGGCACACTGCTGGCTGTTCAGTCCTGCTGTTCACCAGGATACCCAGGTCCTTTCCCACAGAGCAACTTTCCAGCAGGTCATCCCCTAACCTGTACCTTGTGTATATGCAACCCCAGTTGTGCAGATGTTAAACAGCCACTGATGGACAGGATATACACAAATATTCTCTGTTGGATGTAAGAAAACAGCACAAACCAACCACAGGGTCAAACAGATCCTAAAAACATGCATCAAAGCCCAGAGACAGCAGAGAGATTCTCCCCTTTACCCCCAGTGCCTTGGGTCAGATCCTAATTTAACATCTCTTCTGCAGCACCAAATACTGTTGGTAATTCAGGAGAGATAAGACGTGCAGGAGGAAAATTGCAGCATGACCAAGTTTTGCAAAGGAATTCTGCCTGCAGACACACACACCTCCCAGACAAGTCTCTCAAGTTCATACTCATTTATGTCCCATGATAAAAAAAGGGTGGAGCTTTCACTCACCTCCCGAGCGCTTCCACAAGGCACAAATGGCCATACATTGAAGGAGAGCAGCCCAAGAGGGGGAAGAGCAACTGTGATGAGTAATGCTAAATTTAACAACTGGCAAGTTGCCCAAATTCCTGCAAAAGTTTTCTAGGCTTTGGCTCTGTTCAGCGGCAAGCTTGTTCTCGTGTAAGACGGCACTGGCATCTAGCGGCTGCCGGATTCAACCACAGCACCCCAAAACTGCACGCAGGTAGGAGGGAAGAGCTTTCCATCACTGTATGCCAACAGGAGATGACAGTCACAGTGCTATTAAAGAGCAAGTAAAACAAAGGACTTTTCTCAACAGCCCTTCTCACACTGTGGCGTTTGGAGCTGCTGAATTTTCTAGACAAAAAAAATTATGAAGGATTAAAAAAAAACTCCTCAAAAAACTTCAAACAGCCTGTGCCACTGGTGACAAATAAATAAGCCTGCCATGAGGTGTTTCACATCTGCTCTGGGGCACAGGTGGGACTCCCCACATACTCTAATTCTGGCTTTCCACAGCTCTTCTCCCATGAGAAACACCAGTTTCCTAAAAACTCTCTCATGGGGTCAGGTGCTCACGTATTTACCCTCACATAAAGGTAAATCTTACCCATGAGCATTTTAACCATGCAATTTAATTTTGCTTGCATAAACATGGACCTGTACAAGAACTACTAAAAATATCCATGGTTAGTGTAATGCAATAATAGAAGCAAAATTATCTGAAACAATCAAATAAAATATTTCAGTGTTGCCTGAGAAAATATGAACCACTATTTGTTTTTTCCCAATGCATTTCTTTTAGGAAAACAGGAACACTCCCATGCAATTTACTCTAGTTTATACAGAAAACAGGAAATAGAGAGATGGTGATTGTTTTACTGGGATTCATTAGGCAGTTCCATTTTCAGACCAGAAAGCATCTCCCCTCTCTCATGCAGATGATCCAACCCTGTTTTAAGGGACTGCCATGTGTTTCATCATGCATAGTCCTGCCTGAGAACATGAGCAAAGTGGGAAAAAAATTTGCAAGAAACTTTCTGGATTGATTTGCAACTTGAGCATGGCTGCACCAACCAAGCCTGTCCCATGGCACAGTGGGATGCTGGAGCAGCTTCCTCTGCTGCTGCCCGGCTTCTGTAGATGCCACCACTGTGCTATTGGATTGATTTTGCCAGTGAGGGCAGGGCAGATGGGCCCTCTGAGTGAGTTTATTAGGAAAGGACATTAAGAGCATCTCCAGGGATTTGATTCCCAGTGTTGTTCTTCCAAAGCTTTCTCTTTCCTGACTCAATACTGTGATTGTTTTGAGCTCCTCCGGATGGGTATCTCTGAGACTGATAGCAGCTAGTTTAAAATTAATAATTCATTCTCTTCTAGTGATTTTAAAGAGAGGCAAAATTATCTGACTGATAATTCTCTGAAGAATTAAAGTGATGGCATACAAAATTGGTACCCGTTGTTGGAGCTTATTAAACATTTACAATTGTTTAGCTGTAAGACACTACAAGAACCCTAAATCCAGATCTGAAAGGCCTATTTTCTTCTCCCTGCAGCTCCCAGATCTACCACTTACAGAAGGTAGAAGAGACTTGGGGGCTGTGGAGTCATCCCTGCTTATGGCACCCCATGGCAGCGCTGGTGGGAGGGACCTGTCACCAGCCCTGGGTCAAGGTGGTCACAGCTTTGTTCAGCCAGCTCCTGAAACCTCCAGGAGAAGATCCCCTACCTTCCTGGGGGCCTTTCTGTGTTGAAACCCTTTCAGCCAACAGGTTTTGGGACTATCCTTCCACCCCTTCAATGGTGTCTTCATTCTGTGCTTTGATGAAACCTTCCATTGACCTTTCACATGGGCTGGAAGGGCACCATGAGCCCTTCTAGTGACCCACCTGTAGCTGATTCAGCCTTTGGCCATAGGGTCTGCTCAGTCCTTCATCCAGCCTGCTCACCTTGCATCCTTGTTGATGCTGAAATGAAGTAGTCTGAGGTCTGGTCAGGGCTATCTCATCCACAGCTTTAATTAATAAGTTCAGTTCTTACTGATTTCCATCTGCAGTACCTGAAATACAAACTTATTGCAATAAAACCTAATTTTGCTCTGGTTGGACATCAGTCACCATTTGCTAGCAGCTGCAGGTTCTCCCTCACCAACAGGTCCCTCCCAAAATCCCCATCCTGCATATGGCCCCTGGTGTAACCCCCGTACCCTCCCATGACACTCTCCAACTGAAACAATCTCTGGCACATGTAAGCATCCTTATTTTTGATCTTTTTGATGTGTCCCAAAGTGATTTAGAGGGTAGAATGCCATCTGCTGCCCTTTGCTGTGGTTGGAAAGCTGGGCAAGAGCTTAACACAAGGACAACAAGAGTGGACAAAGTCTTTCTCACCAAGCATCCTGCCTCTGGACCATGCCACAGATGCATGATGTCTTCAGGTCATAAAATCAGAGCAAACACATGTAGTCCTTCCAGGGGCTCAGTGGTCTCCAGCCCATCTGTGGCTTCTTGGGCTTTTTGTAACTATTTGAGAAGTTTCAGATGGCTTCTCTTCCAAAAACTTGCCCAGCATCCCCTTGAAATGACTCAAACCCACACGTGGTGGGCAGCACTGAGCCCACCTGGCACACTGGTCAGTTCAAAAGTGACATTGGTGAAAGAGAATAACACAGTCTAGCAGGAAAAAACTGTCAACTGCTTCAATACTTTATTTTGTGAGTGACTGACCCTCCTTTCCTTCCTGGAGACCTCTGAGGTAGGCCCCTATACAGCCACTCTCATCAGGCACCTGTGAAACTGAGATCACTCATTTATGGAGAACTATGTGCAATTCACTTCATGTGACATTGTTGTTTCAGTGATGTGATGGCTTTTAACTCAGAGAATGAATCCCCCTAATGCCCTAAACCAGAATGATTAAACAACTTCAGATTCAGACCTTTCTGATTAGTATCTGTCCTGTTTATCCCCTTACTGCCCTAGGAGGTCAGCTTTGCCAGTCACTTCAAGCATGATTGAGGAGTCTTCTTTTCTGAGTCCTTGTGAATTCAGCAGCTCTTTCCAGTTTTATGGACTAGGCTCAATTTTATGTACTATTTTATGGTTTGGATTAGCTCCCAATATGCACTCTCTCTGAGAGTGCCTACTCACAATCAATCAATGACTAAGAAAAAACAGTTAAATGTTTTATTACAATAAGAATCAACTGCAACAAGATCTGGCCAGGACAGGAACAGCTTGAATGAGAATATATTGGACTAGTGAGACTGAACTGCAAGTAAAAGTCAAAACTTTGCCAGAAGTCAAGCTTTGCACAGCAAAGAGTGACCAGCAGCACTCGATGGACAGCAATGATGTATAGAGTCACATACGCCAAAAAACTTCCCAGATGTGCATTGTGAACATCACAGATACCAAATCTACTGCTCAAATAAAACAATTCCTTTAATGAATGAGGTCACCTATGTTTTTGTGATTTCAAATGCTGAAGACGTGCCTTCAAATGGGATAGAGACAGCGTGAGTGAGAGACAGATTTTTCCTGTAGTGCCCGAAGTACCGTATCCTATAGACGCCCGGCTCTGTGTCATGAGGGATGTGCCATTCGATAGTCACGTTGCTCCGACCAAAAAATCCTTTGGTCCAGTAAAACCTAGCAGACAAACCCAAAACTGCAGTCAGCAAGAAAATCTACTTTTCTTTTTTTTTTTTAATATCCCAAGAGTTTACTCAGTGGAATGAAATGAATGCTCTACAGCTAAGTATTTAAAGAGTTTCTTTTAACCTTTCTTCATATATTTAGGCTATCGGAGCAACAACCAGTAAGCCAACCCAGAACTCAGCATTTCTGAAAAAAATATCTGGAAACATGGAAACATGGAAAAGCAAGTCAGTGGTCCTTTTTGCAGATGAAGGATATTTCTACCAACATGTTCTTATATGCCCAGCTCCATATCATAACCCCATACAACATTACCTGTGTGAGCAATATCCATCAGCTTAGTCTTCCCTGCCCCAGGGGAATGCTGAATCAAGAGAATGAGTATTTACTGAAGGTCACAAGCAAAATCTATCATAATCAAGCTCAGGGCATCTGGCACCCATTTCTACATCAGACTCCCATTTTCTTTTGCAGACTCCTTGTGTGAAACCACTTCTGCTCAACATCAAAACTCTACAGACAGCTACGGATCATCTGGGGGTGACGGATTTTTCAGCTGGCCATGGTGGAGCACTTTTTGGGCAGATGAAGAAGATTAATATTATATTCTTTTGATACTGCCAAAGAGGGGCACTGCTGGACATCCCCCCACTTGTAACCACACTAGACATGAGAGTCCTACTGAGATTACACCCCCATTTCAGGGCTTTAACTAAAGGAAGCAGGTGAACAAAATACATTGATTCATCAGCAATGGCAATAAAAATTTTCCCCATACCAGTCTGGCTGACAAGATTGATCTAAATATTTACAGACATGACTGGCTGAAAAACAGTGAATGATGGGGGGAATCTAGTTTGGCAAAGAGAGACCACAGTCTGACACAGGGTCCATGGATCTGTCTGCTCGCTCTTGTCCAGGGTTTTGGCTATGGATTGCATTGGATTGTCTTGGCAAAAAGACTATGTTGTCTTGGGAGATGACAGCAAGGTGACAGCACAAGGCCCGAAGTAGTGGGGGATATTCACCCTTGAGGATCAGCCCACCTCACCTGGACATGGCCCCAGGTAAGCTACTATAACCGTGATGTCAGCTCTGTTGGGAGCTGGGTTGGACCAGAAACCTGGTTACAATACTGTGACCTAAAAATGCTGCTGTGATAGATCTATCTCCAGGCTTGATGACCCAGGATCACCGCTTTGGGACTTGGGAACTGGAACATAGCTCAGATCCCAGCTGGGAAGAGGCTTCTCACAGATGAGCTCATGGGGAATTAACCATGTCTTCTCTTTGTTGGTTGTTTGCTAAAGGCAGGGCCAAGCAAATTCTTGCTTGGAGCTCAGTCTGTCCTCCTAAACAGTCCCAAGAAAGCACTTACTGGTCCATGGCAAATGCAGGGTGGGGCCAAACACTTCTCTAGTGCAAATACCAAGACAGCACCCAGCAAAAGGACAAGCCTGCACTGACTTTGTCCCTGCCGTGATGGCGAGCACAGGACAAAGGGCAGATAACAGCTATCTCCTTCCCCGAAAACTGCACCTCATTTAAATAAAGCTCCATATCTTTTGATCCCTGCAAATAAGCATTTACAAACACACCTATAAGCTATTTAACATTTTGCAACAGTAAGCTAACAAATAATGCGTTCCCTTTGCTGCTCTCCTATTGCAATGTCAGCACATTCAGTGGTATCGAACGTTAGTTTTTCCTGTACTAAAAAAACAGAGTCTGACTCCACTAATACCTAGTAAAAATGTTTGATGCTCCTTTTCTCCACTGCTTTAATTATTGACAGTTCAAGGTTAACACACTGACATGGTAAAAAGTGACTCGTTTTCATCTGAACAGAACCATTTCCCCTTTCTGGTGGTGTTTGGTACTTTCCTGGGGCACCAGGAAGGGAGATGTTACTCTCTGCATTGGTTTGCCTTCTGGGCAGCTCCTTTAGGCAGGAAAAGACCAAACAGCTCCTCTTCCTTATCAGCAGAAGTATTTAAGCATCATTCAGAGATCCAAAGTCTGACCTTTCTCAGGAAGGAATAAGATATCTAGATTCCAGTCTTTGCAGAATCATGGTAGCACATTCTTCAAGTTTTGCACTTTTGTGTGTTATTCATCTTCTTGATTGACATGTTATGAAACATTTTCAGTGTTCCTGGCCAAGGTTTTTGGAAATCTGGGGTTTTGGAAGAGGAGGGAAGAAGGCAGGGGTATGTATATGGGTGATCAAATACTATTGTTTCCTTTACTCAAGTAGGGAACATGACTGGAAAGGGTGACATCAATGAGAGTGATAAAGTAACACAGTGTGAGTATTAAAGAGGACAAACACTTAGAAATGCAGAGCTCCAAGCCCAGGTAGGAATAAATCTCCCCCGTTGGGACAGCTGGAGTCCTGGCTACTGGATTAGGTTTAGAGAGTGCCTGGTTGCACTTGGGCAAGAAGAATTACATCCTATCAAATGCTCATTATAAATATAGAGGAAAACTTTCCCAACAAATACAGGCTGCTAGGAAAATTGTCTCTCCAACCTCAGACATTATATGTTTGTGCTGGGACATTGCAGGCTCAGAAGACCTCAAGACAGAGGTTTTGGGGGTCAGGATTCTCACAGATAGGTTGCAGAGGCAGATGGGAAAATGTCTGATTTTATTCAGTGTGGGAAGATTCCCCGAAATATTCACGGAGTCCTCATGGAGGTAAGAGTGAATTTTCGTAAAGTGACGTTTATTAGCTTAAAACAGCACACTTTATAGGGTTCTACAGGGTTCATGTGGTACAAACAAACTACTATTGGTTTAATTAACTAAATATCACACGTCATCTTATAATCGGTTATAAGTGAATCTACTTCCGCCTTCATGCCAGCCTCAGTCTCTCCCTCCTTCCACTTCCAGGTGGCACTTCCTCCCCACCCCCGTGGCCAGCCAATCCTGTTGAACATCCTCCCTTCTGTTTACGACCTTAGTGTTGTTTCTCATCCTTATCTTTTAAGGAGACTTCAGAGGCACTGCCTTCAGGGCTACGAGCTGGGTTGTGCAGGCAGACCTTAAGTAAAACATCATGCCCTTGCTCTGCCAAGATATTCTCTACAATTCAGACAGAGGAATAACTTGAAATCAAATGGTTTGACAAAAGATGGTTTTGGTATTCTTATTTTGTGTGCTGACTTCTGGTGTAGCTCTGAAAGGTGACACCAGCTTTGCTGCTTTGTGGGTATTTTTCCTTAAGACTGACATCTCTAACCTTAAGTTGGCTTTCTTACAAATTTTTTTAAAAAATTTTTGACTGTTTCTACTTTATGATACACAGCAATGCTGGTCAGCTTTTCTGTATGAAAACCCTACAGCAATGAACCTCTCATATTTTCTATTTGGTATCCTATTCATCAGCACAGTACTGCAGATGGGTGGATGTAGGCTGAGAAAGTTGGACCATGAACCTCTGTAATTCTTGCTCTTCCTTCTGCCTTTCCCAAACTTAAAAGCATTCATTGCAGAAGCTAAACCCAAAGGGAAGACCGATTGTTGTGGTCTTGACAAGTTAACCACCCAAATATGGACTGATCCATCCCCAGAAAGCATCATCTGCAGGGACAAGACCAACCTATGGTTAGGAACTCTGAAATGAAGCTCTTCAGGTTAAACTCAAATTACTCTGTGGAGTCTGTGGAACACTAGAATCTAGTCAGGGCACCCACCTGGTGTCCCAGGAGGCATCATTCTGTACCACATGCCAGCTGTCTGAAGTGCTGTTGTATTTCTCCACCGTCAGGAAGTTGTGTTCAGTCTGGAATAAAAATAACAGAGTTAGCCAGATGCTGAAGGTACAGGCATGTCCCTGCTTTTTTGTGTCACTTTAAATTGGAGAAAGGACTATGCTTCTGTGTGCTTTACTAGCAAATGTGGTAATTACTAGCAAAAATGCTTATATTTCACTAACCAAAGCACAAATCTAAGCTAATAAATAATGCAGAGAACAAGTAAATAACTTCACGAAAAAGAGAATGGACAGGGGAGGTAACAGCTATGCAAGAAAGATGAGTGATGGAATGAATATAGTACTTTTCTAAATTTCTTTGTTTTATTAAAATAATGCACTGGGCTGATAAGATGGAGACTAGAGACCATGCTTACTACAACTGGAAGGCACGGGATACCAAGTGAGAAAGAGTGTCTGGCTTAACATATGATATGAGAGCCTTCAACTTCAGTAGTATGGAGAGATCATGAATGGGCTGTATCTGACCAAACTAAGGACTTTTCCCCAAAAGCATTCTGTCTGGTGGTGTGAATTCCCAAAGCACATACTACAGGGAGAAACAATGTTCTTCCAAGCTCCCAGCAAATAAAAAAAGCACTGGAAGCACATGGTCTTACTCCTTCTGAAACCTGAATGTCAAAGATTAAAATGCATCAGGCAGAGGCAGTGACTAAATATTGACTAATCCCAAACATTCCCAATTCCAGTGTTGTTGCACTGTATTTACCGCATTCTCTGCAGAGTTCCTGGGGTTCGCACCTACAAAAGTTACTTCAGCAACTTCTCTCTGTGGGGGAAATGGAGATTTCTATTAAAGACTGAGCAGCATATCATGTATTAAGAACAACCTTTGAAGATGTCATATGAGTTTTTTAGTGGTTTGGTTTGGTTTTGGTTTTGTTTTGGGGTTTTTTTTTAAATGATATATAATTTCACTTGTAGCAGTAGCAATGGACAATTTATACTCTGAGAAGGTATTCTGTGCCCTGCCATTCCACTTGTCCTGCTTGCTGGATAAACTCCACCACAGTACATAAGATTTCTGTGTAAAAAAGGGAGGGAAATAGGGTACATTTTTAAAAATGCCTCCTTGCCTTCTTCCTACCTTACTGCTGAAGATGGTAACGAGATGCAAGTCCTTGCACTGAAAACCTTACCTAAATTTTGAATACTGAAAGCTGAAGTCTTTCTGACATTTTTATTTAACTTACATTCCATACTAGAGGCATCAAAGGTGACCTGATTTCTGCTTGTAAAGAAATCACTGTACAATATTTGCCCATTTAATCGCCAGGTGTTGCTGATTAAGTGTTGAAGCAGAAGGGGAAATCCTCTTCATTTTGAATACAGGGCTTTTATTCTCCCCTTCATTCACCCATTTTAATCACATTCAATACAATGACATTGGCACGAAAACACTCTGTCTCTGCCTTTTCAACCATGCCCACCAGGAGCAATGAGATGGTTTTGGTCTGAGAGCACCACAACCCTTACAAAACATAGACTTTTTTGGATGAGGGGTAAGAATTTAAAGATTATTTCTTAAACAGTTTTTAGCAAATCCTTGAAGCTCTCACCGCTCGATACTGTTGTCTCACTTCTTGTAGCACATCGCCAAATGTCTTACTCGCTGGTGCACGGTCAGCAGTGAGAAGAGGCACCAAGGTCAGGTTACCGATACTGAAAATTGGGGGCTCTGGACCACGAGGCAAATCCTGAACTGTATCCTAGGGGAGAGAAGGTGTGCTCATTGTACATACATATAGATAACCAGTATCACCCTGATGAATCATATCACTGCTCTGGCTCTTTATCCAAGTCCATTGCTTAGATAGATTTTAAGAACAAGGGCAATAAAGTATGAATAAAAACAAACAAGAATATCTTCATCCATGCTCTGCATGCAGGAGCAATCCTCGCAGGATACCTCTGCTCTGTTGCTGAAGTCCCCCAAATCCACCCTCCAGAGTAACCCGTGACTTCAGGAGGCAGCACCAGCGCACTGGCCCACTGCGTGTTCACATGGTCCACAGATACAATGGTAATGAACATTGCTGTGTACAGCAGAAATGTAGCAGATTTTTTTTTCCTCTTGGTAGAAGAGCAGCAACTTCAGGCATGCTAAAAGGTTGGCAGTACCCGTTTCCTAAACTTTGAACCAAAAACCCTCAGAATTTCTCAAATAGCATGAAACCCCTACTACAGGAATTATTTTCATACCACACGAGAATTTCTCAAAGCAGTTTCTTACGAGAAAAGAAAGAGTAGAAATCATGCAGCCTCACTGAAGAACAACTATAGCCATCACCATTTACAGTATTTAAATATCTCTATCAGCATGTGGCATACAGAAAATTTTTATTACCGTAGCAATAGCCTTTGCAAGTCCTCTGTACAGTTGAATATAAGCAGAAAGGGTGTGTGGCCCATAAATAGTTGATGCAGCCTCATATCGTTGAACCTAGCAAAGGACAAATTTGGAAAAGGAGAGTTTGAAGGACTCTTGTGTAGTTTATACAGCTCATCCTACTGCACCAAGACAAGATCAACACTGCACCTGCGGGGTTTATTTACTCCCTTACTGCTGGGGACACAGTCCAACAACTTGCCTAAGTATATCTGCCATAATTTCAGGTTACTCTTCATTCTCCAACCCATCGCAAACGGGGAGGACCAATTGTCACTCTTCCAATTTCATAGCTCTTTTACTCTTTTAAAGAATTATGATGCAGGTCCTCCTACAGGAGGATTATGATGATCTCATTTCCAACTTTTTGATATGGACAACCTCTCTTCTCCCAACCTTCCCTTCTCAGTTTAGAGTTTTTAAACACAAGGAGTCCATCCAATGGTCCACATCTTCTCCAAAGCACAGCATCTATCGTGTCTGGTGGGGACCCTTAAAACTAGGTTTTGCAAGCTATATTACAGTCTTTTCCACAGCAACATGGCACTGCAGTTCATTTTCACCTACAGCTCAAAATCTTTCTTCTAGCAATTTTGCCACTTAATGAAGATAATTTCTAATTCATCCGAGTTATCAGGAGATTACTAAAACAGATCTGAACTCACAGGAGCTCCATCCAGTACATCTGACCACTTCCACATTAAGCATCCACACATACTCTCTAGCAATGGTCAGGAAACCACATTGGCCCTTGGTTCATGTCATCTAGACCAGAATAAACAGGGAGGTCTCATGATTTCCACCACAAATTCTTCAGCTTTTTGTGGCAAAGGAAAAGTACTTTAAACATGCATAATTCCACATGAATTATCATCCCATATAGCCAAAAGCTGAGCTCAGTTAAACATGTTCAATCTGCAGTTTAAATATTTACCTGGTATTCTTCATAGGTGGTAATGTAATGGGTGTAGACATTGCACAGACCTGCAATTATGACATCCATTCTTAGTGTACCATAAGAATCAAATTCCTAAGAAAGGAAATAAATAATTTATCTTTTAACAACTGCTTAATGCACATTGTATTGTTGTTGTTGTTGTTATTATTTACCAGGACAGAATACAAAGTTACAGTAGAGAGAGGGCTGGATGTTAAAAAATGCAACCCTACAAGTGTAATTTGTGTTTATTAGCATCTTATATTCACTTCCTAAAGGAAAAGAGGAGAAATTCACTCATACTCCAGTAAATTCAATAAATCTAGCAGGTTTTTTGAAGCTGATACCTGCGTACTCCTAAAAATGTTGGTATTATAACTATGTGAGACAGGCTTAGTGGGTTGTGAAGACAGCATCGGAGATTAAGATAGTATCCAGGCTGCAGCTGAGAACAGGATGCATCAATGAGGAAAATGGAAAAAATACTTTTATCTTTTTTTTTCCAGTTGTTCTTATGTTTTAAAATCCTGGTAGTGATTAAGGAGCTAAACTCCCCCATCTCAGAGACAAAACTGCTGCTAGCCTCAGTTATGCCTAGTTCCCAGTTGAATTAGCTCATATTGGCTTAATGGATTGAAACTTGGTCAGTTTGTTTCTTTTGGGGACAATATTCATTTCTCCCACATGTCAGTAAGCAGATGTGAAAATGTGTGTGAAGCAACTGTGAGAAGGAAATGTCTGTAAGACAAAAGGCCCATGACCCCAGCTGGGAGGAGAAAAGGGAAAAAATAGAAGGAACCAAAAGACTTGAAGTTCCAGATAAGCTGTGCTCTGGAGAAACCTCTTCCTCAGTAACTTACTCTTTTAACAGCTTCCCGTAGCCTGCGTCCAGACATGGTCCTAGGGGCATTAAGGGAACAATGTCAGTCTGCAGAAATGGAGGGAGCTAAAGCAGCAATCGCTGGTTGGACATGTAGCACAGCACCAGAAATTCACATAGCACTTGCAGTGCTGCACAGCATCCCTTAGGGCTTCTCTGCGATGAGCTCAAGCAGCGACACCAAGTTGGGCAGCAGTGTTGATCTCCTTGAAGGTGGGAAAGCTCTGCAGAGGGATCTGGATAGGCTGGGTCGATGGGCTGAGGCCAATGGTATGAAGTCCAATAAAGCCAAGCATCAGGTCCTGCACCTGGGTCACAACAACCCCATGCAACACTACAGGCTTGGGGAGGAGTGGTTGAAGAGCTGCCCAGTAGAGACCTGGGAGTGTTGGTAGACAGCCAGCTGAACATGAGTCAGCAGTGTGCCCAGGTGGTCAAAAAGGCCAATAGCATCCAGGTCTGTATCAGAAATAGTGTGGCCAGCAGGACCAGGGCAGTGATTATGCCCCTGTACTGGGCACTGGTGAGGCTGCACTTTAAGTACTGTCTCCAGTTTTGGTCCTACAAGAAAGATGTTGAGGTGCTGGAACATGTCCAGAGAAAGGCAACGGAGCTGGTGAAGGGTCTGGAGCACAAGTGTGATGAGTTCACAGCTGAGGGAACTGGGGTTGCTGAGCCTGGAGAAAAGGAGGCTGAGGGGAGACTTTCTCGCTCTCTACAAGTCTCTGAAAAGACCGTGTAGTTAGGTGGGGGTTGGTCACTTCTTCCAGGTAACAAGCAATAGAACAAAAGGAAATGGCCTTAAGTTGTGCCAGGAGAGGTTTAGATTGGATCTGAGGAAAAACTTCTTCACTGAAAGGGTAGTGAAGCATTGGAACAGGTTGCCCAGGGAGGTGGTGGAATCATCTTCCCTGGTAGGATTTAACGGACAAGTACACAAGGTGCTTAGGGACATGGTTTAGAGGTGGAATTGGCAGTGTTGGGTTTATGGTTGGACTCAATGATCTTAGAGGCCTTTTCCAACCACTACGATTCTGTGATTCTGTGAAAACACCTCAAAACATTTCACATACATCATTGCAGCCAGGGTGAGGCTTGAGGCACCCCAGGGTGGGGTGAGGTAGAAAAAAGTGTGCTAGAAATAAATCATTATCCTATCAAGATTTTCACCACGATACCATCAACAGTCAATGCAGATCATCATTATGGTGTTTGTGGGGTGAAAAAGACATCAGAACAAACAAGTTCCTTTCATTTAATTGAAACTGCATTTTGCAATGAACAGTTAAAATTATTTAGGAAGCTTGTTTGCATCTCATTCATTCCCATGGCTACAGAACAGAGGAGAAAATGGGAATCTCCAGGCAGCTGGAGGAGACAGTATGCAAGAAAGTACATGCAGTGGACATATACATGTAGTGCTCATACAGCTATCATATACTGGGGACACTTTTAGCCTACACACCCTTTCTACTTGCATGCAGAAGTACCGCAGGCAGTTTGAATGAAACACTGTCAGCTCCAATACATAGAACAAGACCAAAAAAATACCTACGTGAACTCTCCAGGAACAGCAACGATCGCCAGTGACCCGATGGTAGCAATCTGAACATCCACAATGTCAGGGTGCCATGGGTGAGGCCATGTCATCTGAGGTGAAGAAAAGGTGGATATGACTGTTGTAGGACAGTAACAGTGAAAGACAGATG